GGATACAGGAATGTATTCGCAATCACCGCTAACAAATCCGATTCAGGTAACAATTCGCAGTCTCCGCTATTAGCATGAGAACTGCTGGTGTATCATGAACCGTCCACATCTTGGTTTGTATTTGGCCCGTTTGTTTGCGAGGTAATGCTGTTCGCGTTCCCTCCTCCATTATGTCCGTCCTCAATTACTAATGGTTTTGCGCTGTCGCTTTGTTCTCCTGAGTACATGGCTATAAATTTATATTGTGTGCGCAGTGCACAGATCATGCCGATAAAACTTCGTTTTGAGCAAAGCAGCCACAGAGGTATACCTATTGTACTGAATTTCAGGGCCTATATTGAGTTAAGCTTGCGTTTAATCGAATTTCGGTTCTCAGTATCTTGCGAAGCATGGAATCGGTGGTGAAACGCGAGGACCTTAATTTCAAGGAGTCCCAAATGCTAAGACTAACCCCGGGATTATAGGCCCTCTAACGGATTTAATTTGCATAGTCCTTCGGTCAAAGAAGTTCTATAAAATAGGTAGGCCTGGCTCTTTTCCTCAGGGAACCTTATTTGCTATCCATTTTTTTTGTCTACAGGGCCTTTTCTGGATGGCATTGGACAGCGATATCATCAAACGTCTTGTTACACTGGCGCAACCAACTCAACAGCGGAACTGGCTTTGTGCGAAACCGGGATCTGTACGGATTATGTGCAAGGACAACTGATGGCCTGCCCGCAGGTTTAGTTCAACATTGTGCCGGTGTTTGTCCAAGCGAACTGTTAGCGCCCGTTCCCACTAAATTACGGCCGCTGTCATGCACACGTCGCGTAACAAAGATTGAATTGTCACACGTCGCTTACTCGTATGCAAACTTTAACACTTGGTTCTTCCACAGCCCGAGATAACTCATTTAAGAAGATTCCGCTTATCTGTTCACTCTATCATCTTTTGGACTGAGATTGTGACAGTCTCTCTCAATTCTAAGCCACAATCGTCCCTGTCCATCCAACTCGAAGATTTGCCCCACCCCCCCATTTACAACATCACCTTGGACTTTCTCCTGCGGCTCTATCTCTGTCTATCGTCAGAAGGGGATTAACCCTTTATTTTCGACAGTCGACGGCGTTACATTGACGTGGATACCCACTGAATGCTCACTCAATTGGAGGCTCTCGGCGGCAGATGTTGGAAATTTCACGGTCGGCCGCCCTAGTGCTCCCGTCCTCACTCTGTTGAAACGATTTGCCTTTCCGTCATTCGTCGGAACGCTGTGGTGTTATCACGAGGAATCGTGTTTTGTCCTAATGAAATAAATCCCAACTGACTAATTTGGCATCCATTTGTCTTTAGTGAGATCGAAACGACCGTAATTTCCCAAAAATATTCTAACGACCAATTCCCCAAGGAGCAATTGCGCACGAATTGGAAGTTGAAATCGTGTTGATTTTCCTCCAGGTGTAATTATAATCTACGTCCGTTTAAAGTACATGTATTTACTACTTACTTAGGGGACCTTGACTTAGGGGACCTAGCATGCGGCTAGGTACGGGGCAAGCGGGTCTTTAATCACAGTAATTGTGACGTTTTCTGGCTGTTAAGACCCACGAGCAAGACCCACCAGCACGAACTTGCAATTTGCCTTGTTACAACCTCTTACATCACCGTATGTCGGATGTGATCCTTAAAATTTGTTTTCAGAATCTGAAATCACCATTAATGCATAAATATCGCTAGCGGTTCGACAGCTTTTCGTGCAGAGAGCTTAACTGTTTACGACCTCACACGTTCAACGCTGATCTTGCCGAGATACAGTTGCAGTTTGCAACTTACTGTTAGTCACAGTAGATTTTGCTGACCGATAACATTCAGTTTTGACTATGGAGACACCCACAGAAGTGGGAAACACGCTGGTGTATCTCTTGTACAACGCCAGTATGAACGACACCACCGAGGCGGGGCCGGTAGAGAGCCCAGCCCTGAGACTTGTGCTGTGGGCCGTCTTGGACGGCATCATCGGCTTCCTGGGCGTAGTGGGCAACGGTCTAGTCCTTCTGGTCTTCTTCCGGGGCAAGTCCTCCCGGAACCTGATCAACCTGTTCATCATCAACCAGTCTATGATCGACTTCACCAGCTCCGTCATCTTTCTCCTGATCCACTTGGGCCCCAAGTTCGAGCTGGAGCCGGGCCACGGCGGCCACCTGATCCTATGCAAGATCTGGGTGTCCGAGTACGTCATGTGGGCGCTCTTCATCTCCTCCAGCATCAACCTTGTCTGCATCACGCTGGAGCGGTACGTGGCCACGCTCAAGCCAGCCTGGTATAGGAAGAAAGTGGCCGCCGTCAAGAAGCGGATCGTGCCCGTGGCCGTCGTGGTGTGGTGCTCGGGTTTTCTCATCGATGCTTTCTGGGCGTACGTGCAGCAGGTCCTGCCGGGCAACCTCTGCGTGCCCGTCTACAAGTCGACGGTATGGCAGGGTGTCGGCGGTGTCATGATTTTCTGCGTGACCTATCTGATACCGCTGACAGTCATGGCTTACTGCTACTCAAGGATCATCCGTAAACTCGGCAAGCAGGCGGCCAAGGTGCAGTCCCAATCGCCGGCGCGGTCCGTGTCGCGCAACGTCACCGTCAACGAGCAGGCCTCGGGCTCCGGCGCCAGTGGTTCGCTCCTAGGAGGTAACAACAAGAAGTCCATCCGTTCCTCCGCGAGTTCGCGGGCCATGAAGAACGTCATCAAGACCATGATGATCGTATCAGCCACCTATGCCATAACATGGGCGCCCATAGCCTTCAACTATGTCATCTACAACCTGGGTGGTCCGTTAGATTTCCAAAGTACCTGGTACGAAGTCACCAAACTATTTGTCTACGCTAACATGTGCGGGAACCCGTTCATTTACGCAATGCAGTACAGACAATTTCAAGTGGGACTAAAGCGAATGTTTTGCTCCTGTAAGCGAGAAACACAGGTCAATGCAGAGCGTGCCGATATGTCACAGTCACGTACAGGTGGAGACACGCTAGCTTGAAAAGAAATTTGCACCTGTGGCACTTGAAGTGGACGGTTGGAGAACTATTTCTTTAAAAGTTTTATCAAATAGCGTTATTAAACTACCGGTAGAATTGGTAAGAGACGTAAACGAAGAACAGTCACTGGTTTGCCCTACGTCAACGTAGTTTTTAAAAGCATTGTCTGCTTTTGGTTTCCGACATCTTTGGGGGAAATTTTACAGTTATTATCTGCACAGTGGTAAGACTTGAACCCATGATTTCTAGTTCCTAATGTTGATAACCACTCGAGCATCCAAATTACGAATTGGGAATTGTGGGACCCTGAGAGCATAGATCATTACGTTCGGCGAAAGGCACTTTGAGATCAAACATTCAAATAATAGTACACTCTAAAACTCCCGGGTCAAATTGACTCAGAATTGGGTCCTATTCGGCGTGACCCCTTTCCGGGTTGAAAGGGTCATAATTTGACCCGGAAAAGGGTCACGCCGAAAAGGACCCAATTCCGGGTCAATCTGACCCAGGGGGTTAGAGTTTATGTTTATTTAAAGAGTGTTTCACCAATGGGGTTGAGGCCTGTATAAATACCGTCCTTTGTTATTGCTGTATAAACCCCAGGTTTGGTTGTAAACTAATGGGACCCAAAGCTACTTTCACCAAATAAAATATATGTACTTTATTTGGTTTTGATTTGAGCACACCTTAACGTGCCGTGACATGCATGTACATGCATGTGAAGTTTGATTTGTTGAACTGAGCAGGCGCTTCAATTTATATATGTTGATGTTCAGTCTCAAAGGGAAGAAAATTGTGATAAGGCAGTTTTCAAATAGCATGTTTAAAACCAGCTACCGGGACCTGGGGTGTCGTGGACCACGGCTCGGTCCAGTTTCATCACCAGGACCCTGATAAGCCTACCCGTAGTAGTGTAAAACCAGTCGGTACATTTTATTCCCATTCATAATACCTTTTGATGTTGTGAAAAAGTGAAAACTAATCAAAAAAGTCATATTTTTTCCACTGATTTTATTCACTTAGTTTTCCCTGTGTTTTATGGAACACCACTCCCGCCATGTCAGTAGTTTGCGCCTTGCGCGCCCACAGCAATAATATCTCTAAATGGAAATAATTTGCGCGCGAAGCGCGCACAGTGTAACTCAGAATGCAGCTGAGCAGTTTTAGAGTGAAATTCCTATTTTGAGTTAAAAACCACCTGCATGACGGTCTTTCAATTAGTGAGAATGAGTACAACGAGTTAGCTACGAATGGACTTATTTATCTGGTTCGAAGTTTGTCATACGCATGCACAAACCTCTGATTGCAAGCTTTCATAATGAACACCCAACTCGCGCGGTATATTCCCGTTCTATGGTTCCCTGTAAAACTCAATGTGGGCATAGTGTTAACTGCGGTGACGGTATACACTTACAAACTGGATAAGCTTCGAAATTGGACTTTTGGTGACGACAGACTTATCACGAGAAAGCGAAGAATTTTTGCATTATCCAGATTGTTTTAGTAGGCCTAAGCAAAGAGTAACAACTGACCAAAAGAACCGATTGGAGCGATTAAAAATCTGAACATTTCCAAGTGTTTAAGGGCCATAGCCAAATGCACCAGGAAATCAGTGTTTCAAATCTGATTAAGCACGTACCCTATCTTGGAATTCGCACCTTAAGCCTTTTTTCCAAAAAGACGATAGTAAGTACCGTTACGTTTGTTTGAGCACTGCGTACAATGTCAAACCAAGAGTATAAGCCCACCAGACACTGTGCTTTCGCGCAGTGCACTGATCCTATGATGGTTCAATCGTGCATGATGAATGTTTTCTTATTCACTTCTGTTGTCGACTTTGTTTAAAAAAAAGAGTAGAATGAGTTTCGAGTTGAATTGGAATCTTGCCTTTTGTTCCAAATTCCGCCGATAATCGTATTCTGGAAGTAATTAAAGAGCTTTTGATTTACACGCAATAAAAGATATTATGCTTCGCTTTTTCTTGCCCTCTTTCCGGACTTATCGTGAGACTTCATTTCATACCGAATATCCAATACCAAACAACAAATACCTAACACCCGATACCAATTACCAATACCCAATACAAACGCCATAATGAATACCCATCCGAATACCTAACACCGAATACGAAATATCCAATACCAAATACCCAACGACAAGCACCCAGTACCGATACCGAGTATAGTTTTGTCTTAGGAAAAAAAGCCAAAGATATACGAATGATGTCCAATGGCATCTTACTTATAATTGTCCTTTTTCACTCCTTATGCTACCAACAGTTATTAAACATAACAGATGCAACCAAAATCTATGCAATTAACATATTGCAAAAAGACAACGCAGAAGATTGATGTTGTGTTCCATAATATATAGGCCTTCTTGATATATTTGGAATACTGGCTGCTCACTATTGCCATATTGGATGCACCGCATGCACTGTTTGGTGTATGTGCCAGGTAAGTGAAGAATTCTTCAGAAGACAGAAAATAGTCGAGACTACTTCAAATGAATTTTGAAAAATGTTTAGTTGTTGTAACGTTGACACTGGATAAAGAAGAAAATACGTGGGTTCAAGTAATAGCTCCCGTAGCCTTCAACATTCAGTGGATTACCCAACGATATCTCCCAGAGATATTTTGCCTTTTGATCAGAAAAAAAGCCTTTTGCGAGTTAAAGTTGAATCAAATCTGCTGCGCTGAGTTATCTCATTGCGCGTAAACATACCAATTTGAATTCCCCACACTGAAGACACTGTTGCTATAGGCCTATCTGGTGATTCCAGGCAAGCTTTTGCCAAGCGACCACCATCCCTGGAAAATGTGCCCTCCTTATCCATTGACAACAGTGTATTGGTGCAAGGCGCCTCTTAAAGCAAACGCTAGCTCCGAACCACGAGATATAGCAACAGTGTCTTTAGTATGGAAATTATAAATTTCTATGTTCACCTGAATTTAATTTTAAAGAACTCAATGTAGCAGACTTTATTCACATTCAACTCGCAAAATGCTTATTGCAAGTGCTAGCCATTTTAGAAGGGGTACGCCCACTTTTGTTTTTGTGTTTGTGTGGGGGCAATAAAAATTGCCTTTATGGATAGAAAACTTGGGGACCATAATTTCAGATACATTCCACTCAAGACATGGACAGTGCACGCCAATGTATACATGCCGATCCAGCTACACGTCTTGTGGCATTGTAATTGCTCCTTACGACTATCCGTGAGCTTGACGCTGGATGTTTTACCTATGTATTGCTAAACATGACTGCGCGAAGGAAGTGAAAATGGGTAACCCCCCTCGCAAAAGAAACTCAGCTCCTAAGTTTTGATTAAAAGAAATGGTTGCAAAATATCTCGTACCCACTTTAGCTATATTACCACTCACGGATGGGCATTTCATGACTGTTTGCTCAAGAAACGAGATTGCATGCACGCCTACCCCAACGAGGATTCGTATCAATATTGACGGACCTCTGATGGTTTACCAGCCGTTCGTATGAGACATTCTCTCGGACCCGAGATCGACCGACGACGCAATGGACCACCGACATAGAATGGCAAAAACAACATTACTTGTCATCTTCACGCAAAGTGTTCGCTTTGACCAAATTTGTCTTTTTATCGATTGTTTAGTTTTGAGGAGGCACGACGTTTAATCCAAGCGTTGATGGCTATTAGGACGCAATATTGTTCGTGGTGGAATTCATATGCCGCTTTTTTAAACAGTGATGGAATGGAAATTAACTCCAATAAAATGACGTTTACTAATTTAATAAAATAAACATCAACCCAAAAATTAAACCAACAAACTGACGTTCATATCAGTTACGATCCAAGTAACAACACTAGCTTCGTTATACCAGAAAGCAATTTTCAGCGCAGCTATTTATTAATTCGATTAAAATTGATGCTTAATGGTTAACTGTTTGGGCTAAACAAACCCTTCCCTTATCTATGCAATTTAATAATAAAATACAATTGCTGATACTGAATAACCTTGGTCAGTGGTCAAGCACGGAGGAAACCAGCGGCGGGAGATAATTTGTAACATTGCAGCCGGATCGAGTTGAAGCCGACGTGACACGTTACCTTGTCCTGGAGATCTTCTGTTTGGGAGACATCGATCCACCGGATCCCTCCGCAATTGGCGGGTATTTACAATAGCGGGCCAGGGTGCACTTAATCAACTATCAACCAAGGTTTTTGTCTCGCTTTTTCCCCAAGGGCTTAATATCGACACTAGCGCATTTTCAGGGCAACCGGAGCTGGCTCGAAATCAAAGCGAGGGACACAGACCATTCTTCCATTGGCAATAGGAATAAAAATAATGCAATATGAAAAACAAGGTGTTTCAATTACTGGACAGGGCTTTGTCAACGACGGCCATGGGTAGCGGGGAGCCCCCAAATCCGAAAAGCTTACCCACATTTTCAGCTTAGAAGTGCATTTCTCACTAGCAGCTGGAGATATTATTTTGCCAGGAAATCTATCCAAAAAAGCTTATCCAAATGCAGTGATTTCTTCCATAATGTTTCACCAAATTCCTTACAGGATAATGCCTCCCGCCGCTTGGTAAATGTGCGTACGCATGTAGTCTTTCTAGTGGGTTTAAGCCATGCACAGAGACAATACAGGTAGACTACTTAAACATTCATAACTGTGGTACAGGGTGCATGTAGGCTCAGATGTCCAAGAGACTTGAAATCTGATTAAATTCAAACATCGTGTGAACGTCTTTTCCTCGCCAAAAGATTTTAGGGAAATATGAAGTAATGTGCCAC